CTCGAATCTATGCAAAATCTTATATAAAGTTTAGATTTTGCATGTATATCCATTGATAAATATTTATTAAAAGCATATTTTTAGTATAGTAAATATATTTAAATGAATAAAATTTATAAAATTATAGATTTATATAAAATAATAATAATAATAATAATAATAATAATAATAAAATCATTTATCAAAAATTCATTAAAATTAATTGTAGTTTTTTCTATATCAATTTACAAATTAATATGTTTTTCAATAAAACTTCTTTAATCATTTAATCAGATAAAAAAACATTTTCTTTTTCATTAATTAAAGATTTATAATAAATCTTTTATAGAAGATCTATTGGAAATATAAAATTAATAAGATCAAGAAATTTTATACTTTTTATTACTTGAATATTAGATTTATATGATGATTTTTTTTAAGATAAATAGTAATTAAGTTAGGCTTTATTTTTTTGATAATATAATTGATGTAATTAAAATTATAGTTAAAATAACAGAAGTAAATAAAGCTGGATCTTTATTTTATAAAAGTAATTTAAATCTTTTTTTTAGTTTATTTTTTTCTTTTTTTATATAATAATGATAAATAAAATTAGAAATACAATATTAAAAATATTATCATTAGTATATATATTATTATAATCTTTTAAAGACTTTTTAGAATTTGAATAATGATAATTAATTTTATCAAAAATATTAATTAAAAGTGAACGAGTTGTATCTATTCCTTTAATTTTAGCAATTTAATAATAAAAAAATTTCAAAATTCAACTATAATATTTATAATTAAAAATGTTTTTTACTATTACTTTTACTCAAATTGTAATTATTTTATTATTTAATTTAAAGTAATATTCATCATCAACAATTAAACAACCTTAAATATAATATTTACACTTAGGAAAATTTTGATATATTTCTAGTTTCATATTTTTTAATAATGAAAAAGCATCTAATATCTTTAAATTAAATCTTTTTATTAAATAAAAAATACATATTATAATAAATAAAATATGAGAATAATAAAATATATTATATACAATTTTTTTTGATAGAGATTCTTCAGTATTATTTTTTATCACAGAACTTTCACAAACTATTTATTTTCTTTTAGTATTTTTTTTTGTAAAATATACACATATAATTAAACATTCTTTCTTTTTTTATATTCTATAATAATGCTACAATAGTACTATTAGATTTTAAATCAAAATGATTCGTCTTAATACTAAAAGAATTTTGATAACATAAAAGACTAAGTTCTATTTTTTCCTATTCTGCTAATAATTTATAAGACAATATTTTTTCTTCTATTTGAACAAATATATTAAATTATCTAAGCAATAAGAAATATTAATTACTCTATTAAGTTTTTACGTAGGTATTTATATTTATTAAACAAACTAATGTAATATATTCTAAATTAAAATTTAATTATAAGTTTATAAAAATAATTAATAATATAGATTATATAATAAAAAGATATATTTACATAATATAGAAATCTTTTTAAAAGTTGATATTAATGATGAATTTGGTTTTGATAAAGTAAAGTCAGTTAGATTGATATAATCTTTATTTTTAAAAATAAAATTTGTGATTTTTGCTGATTTGTAATTCTTTACACTTTAATAATTTAAGTAATTATATTATAATATAATATTTTATTAAAAAATTATTTAAAATAATATCTTTATGATATTTATTCATATAATCTATACAAATATTATATTATTTAGATGTAATAAAAGTATGATATATAGAGGGATTAATGTCTTTAGTTCAACTAATAATAACTGAGTTCCTATTATAAGTTACATTATAATAGTTACAAGTTTAGATCTCAGCTGAAGTATAAAACTGGATGATTTTTATAAGAAATTTATTGTAACTGAATACGTAAGCGTATAGACTAATATATATTAAAATCTGATTAATTGATTAGTTAATTAATATTGGTTATGTCTAAATTCTAGATTTAAAAAATATGTGAATACAAATAGAGTCAGAGATCAATAAAAATTTAGCCTTCACTAATAGATCTGTAATAGATACTGTCTCACATCTTCAAACTCAGAAATTCTTACATGAGTAAGGAAGTAGTTAATTAGTAATTAGTAGATCTAAAATGTATTAGAAATAATAGACTGCATTGCACAGTTTTAGATCAGATTATATTATCATTAGTGGTAGAGATCAGGTTTAATTTCTGGATGTATTTGATACTATAAGTACTAAGTCACTATCTATGTAAAGAACCTGATTCTATAGTCTTAGAAGTTATTAATAGGGATAGGATAAACCTTATAAATTAGATTAATAAAAATAGTGACTGTTAATCACTGTGGCTAAAATGAGTCTTTTATTTAAATTTGATATATGAAAATCTAAAAGGGGTTTAATTGAGTGATCCTATGGTCAAACTCAGATGAAATAGACTATAAATTAAATGAAAACCCTTAGTTAGATATATATAATAAAGTTGCACTTATCCTAATCAGCGGTGAGACTTCAAGTAGCTGATCTTTGTCATTATAGCTTCATCTAAACCTCACCATTAAGGTAAATGTATCTTTAAAAAAAAGTATGATATGTGAAGAAATATTAATAAGAACCTATTCAACAAATTCTTTATCTACTGCAATCTTTTGATTTATAACACCTCTTTGTGTAAAAAGTTTATGGTAAAAATTTACAATATAATCACATTTAATTTTCTTTCTTTTCTATTCCAATTCTTTTATTTGGCAAGTACATTTTAACCATATTAATTTTTACAATCTAAGCAAATAAAAATAATTAGATAAGTATTGAGATGAAACTTTAAATAAAAAGTTATCATTCTAAATAATTGTATTTTATTTCTTATTACATAAAAATACTAATATATATATATAATACTATTTATATTTTGAGTAGATGTCACATTATTTGGCTTACATATTATATTAGGATATTTCACTAAATAATTAATCAAAACTATATTGGCTAACTATAAAAATTTATATATTGGAGATTTTTATAGTTATATAACAATTAAAATAAGTTTGAATACCTTCTATCATTAGTAGTTAAAGGATATTTAGATAGATCAATAGCAATTCATCATCATTCATCTATATGAGTTCTTTGTTTATATCAAGTATTAGTATTTTTTCTGTTAAGTGATCTTTTCATATTTACAGAAATTTGGTTTGCTTTGCGTGATTTAATTTTTCTTTTGAAAACCTTTGATATTCTGTCTATTATAATGATATATGCTAATTAGTATATTTTAAAATGATTCATTGCATTGTTGAAATGTCAATTTATCTTCAAATTTTCACAGCATGAATATATATTGTTTAAGAACAAAGTTACGTTAAGATATTTCATTTTGTAAAAAAAAAATTTCAAGATTTGACCTTAAGAATCAAAAATTTTTTGTAAATATTGATTTTTAAGAAGAAATATCCAACCCTTTTTAAAAAATAAACGTAGTTACTTTGCAACAGTTCTTAAGAATAGTTTCCAACCAAAAAAAAAGAAAAAATTAAGCTCAATATTGATGGGAATCTTTTAGGAGTTTGAGTTTATTTTAATAGTAAACGATTATAAAAAGGATTCAAATTTATTTTAAAGCTTGTGTAACATAAATTTTGATTATAGTAAAGCCAATTAAGTATCTGATATGGGAGGGTTTCTAGAAAAATAAGGTTCTGAGAAATTTTTGACTTAAATTAAGAGCTTAATACATTTTAATCTAATAAAATCAAAAACTAAAATGCAATAAAAATCTCAATTTTGTTAAAAAATTCCCGGAACCTGATTTTCCTAGCAATCAACCCATATAGTTTTGATTAACTAGTCGGTGTGACACTCTAATATCACGTGTTTATTATTTATTTCAATTTGCCGAGAACCCGAGAACCTGGCAACTTCGGCAAAAGGTGTTCCGTAACTTATGAAATTTGCTGTAATGAAAAATGGCCAACTTTATGAAGAGATCCTTCTGACTTGTTGTTAATAAACTAGAAAAACTATATTGGATTGTCAGTTTTAACTCGAAGAATAAGTAAATAAAATTTTTTACGCATATATTGGATAAAAATTAAGGTTTACATATGACGAAATTTCAGTTTTATAAAAATAAAGTGATCGACAAGCTCCGTTTGACCGTTTGACCCTGATTTTTCGGAAATGTCCAGTGATTGATTACGACATCATCAGGGTCACGGCTGTAGCCGTGACTCGCGGAAATAACTAATACATAAATCACATTTATAGTTGCCTTGCAAAACTCATTTTAACAAATGGCAAAAGTCGATACCCTATATTTCGACGGATTTGTTAATAAGACTTTAATATAGTTTTGAATCCGTCGAAACCCGAGAGTTTTGCCAATCTCATCATTTTTTTTTTTTTTAAAAAAAAAAAAATTCTAAAACTTTTGACTCTTGTGAGGCTTAAAGATTAAAATTTACCAAATTGGTTGATCTCATTATATAATAACGGGAATGAGTTAACCCACTTAAGCTGAATCAATTTATTTATATATATCACAAATCGGTAAAGTCAAACCTGGCCTTTCGTTAGTAATAAATCTACAAATAACACACGTTATTAAAATGGAGATTACCGAGTACCTTTTGTTTTTTTCTTTGTGTATTAAAACACGTCTTATTTGTCTTCTAAAAGTATTACTGTACATCCTAGTCTGTCATACCGACCAATGGTGTATGTTATCTTTTATTTAAGTTATACTTAAATTTCTTTGAGTCATTATTTGACTTGGAGTAAGATCAGAATTTATCTCGTCGATTTGTCTGTATATTGCATCGATTTGTTTCAATACCATCGTCTTGGTATTCCAGCTTTGAAACAGAAGGCATATAGTTTCATGAATTACGCGATTTATATATATATATACTGTATATATACCCCAAATAATTTCAAAAAAAAAAAAAAAAATAATAATAATTTTTTTTTTTCTTTTAAAAAATTTTTAAATAAGCTTGCAATATGAAATTAGAAGAACAAAAAGTTCAAGAACTCTTGGAATATCTTATAAATAACCCAATATTCCCTCCCCCAATTATGAACCCGAAATTATTTTTCGATCGTTAAACGGAAGTCCGAAAGCTAGAGTTAAACCTACAACTAGTCGATCTCTTCTACGATTCTTCGTGAGAGAGTCAGCAAGGCAATCCCAAATGATTGTAACCGAATTCATTATTAGCAAAACCGAATTCCATTTGCGTAAAAGAGCTACTATGGAAGAAATGTTGGTGTATCAAAGATTGTCTGAACAAGTAAACGAGAGAATCAAAAGAAGATGAACTTCTGCTTGATTAAAAACACTTTTCAATCTAAGCATTTTTACATTAAATTCACCCGTTTTTATGATAATTAAAAAAAAAAAAAACAGGTTCTTAAGCCTACCTTTATGTTTCCTTAAGTTTCATCAAATTTTAAATTTATTAGTGTTTTTTATTTTTATTTTTTTTGACTTAGGTTGACCTTAGAAATTCGCAGTTATTATTTTTTTTTTTCATTTTCATTATAAGCTATATTTGAAATAAAAAAGCAATCTTTCGTTCTTTTAAATACATTTTTTTTTTCCTTTTCTCACAACAGATAAATAAGGGGAATAATTTAAAATTCGAAATTACATAATGATATTAACACAGAATTGGTTATGAAGATAAAAAAAAAAAAGTTCCCGTAAATTCAATCGTTACTCAAAAGATTATTACGCCATTTGTTCATCTTGTTGTTTCAGATGCGGATACGAGATTGATTTAATCTTCATTTCCAATAATCTTTAAATTAAAGGTTTGACAGAATTGAATGAATTACTATAAATAAGTGATGCATTAAAGCAAGAATTAGTAAAAAAAAAATTTTTTTTTAAATTTGCCAATCGTATTCTTTCAGATTTCCCCTAATTAAGAAAAGTTATTAATTTACAGAAGGAAGACGATGGTCTGAAGGATAGGAAAGTAAAAGTTGGGATATTAAGATTTTGGTGATGCTATGAGAAGATATTTAAAACTTAATTAACAATAATTTTAGTAATACTATTTTATAATTTTAATCAGAACTTTAGACACAATATCTTAGTATTTATTTAGATATTCAATTTATGCAATCTTAATACTATTAAAAAGCTCTTATTATGCTCTTTCAAATAAACTTAAATTGCATGAGCCTTTGAATGTTTGTGTAAAATCAAAAAAGCTTTTTGAATTGCGCCGATAAAATAAATATTTCTTTACGATATTTAAACATGTGCGGCACGATATATAATAATTTTAAAATTTGTTTTCGACACAAAATGTTCGTTGTCTTGGGACAAATTCTTTTTTATTTATGAAAATATTTTTATTAATAACTTCAGTGAATATACTTCACGATCGTACGTTAACGAATTCGAAAATAAAATAATAAATCTATAATATATTTATAATATTATGAACTAAGATTTCAATTTATACCTATATATTCTGTAATATTTTGTTAATGTGGGGGATTTTTGATCATAAATGAGATTTTTAAATATGGCCAAATTTGTATTGTGAGCCCGAGCTAAAAAAAAAAAAAAAAAATTATTTATAACAATTTGAATTGAATTTCAACTTTTGAATATTATAGAACTTACAATAGATTGTAAATTACATTATCCCTGTATGCTCTCTCTGAAAGTAGTAAGTAATATATCCAAGTTAATAAATTCTCTTTATATTTAAAGAATTTACCTTCATTATGATGGAGAGAACCAAAAGAATTATCAGATCTTAACGTTCTACTAATGTAAATCATTGGGATTGGTCAAAGTTGAATGAAATATTAGAATATTATTTTGAACGTCTGAATATGTATAAATTACCTTGAAATATTATTTATATCGAGTTCAAAGTCTTTTGAAGTATTTGTGGTGTCTAAATAATTAGGATTGGGTTTACATGTAAAAGTTGCTTTTGAATGGGGTTTTTTAAATGTAGGACCCAATTCGTTTGATCCGATTAATGCTAATCGTTTTTTCTCGGCCTGATTAAACTGTTCGGCATTTTCTCCTTTTGATGACCATCTACCCAAGATTTTACTAATCTCAAATGCATCAGGTCTTTTTGAAGGATCAGGATTCCAACATCTCTTCATTAAATTGGCAAAACATTCAGGGGTATCCTCTGTAACATCAGGGCGCTTTCCTTTAATTATTTCCAAGATAAGATCGAAATTATGATTATCATTAGGAAAAGGTCTACAACCTGTTGTAACTTCCCACATAATCATACCCAAACTGTAAATATCGGATTTTTTCGAATATGGTTGTTTATTTGCTACTTCTGGTGCAAGGTAAGCGATCATTGCGTAGTTTTTAGTATCCAACGGAGTATTATTTACATTTTGTGATAATCCTAAATCTCCAATCTTCCAATATTCGGTTTTTTTATCTAATAATATATTTCCACTATGAAAATCTCGATGTATAAAATCAATTTTATGGATGGAATAAAGTCTAAAAAGGTAATAAAACAAATGATTAACATCACCCAAAATCAACCCAATTAATGATTAAATAATGTGATGATGATTACCCAAGTGATATTTCCGACAACATGGTTAGTTTCTTCCACCATGTTATCTTTGTAAAATTCTTTTGTAAATGGTTATGTAGATCTCCCCCATCCGCGTATTCCATTACCATCATAAAACTATTGGTATTGGGTTTTTTTGTGATCCCGTAACATCTAATGGTAAAATCAAATTGACTATAACATTGATGAAGCGATTTTAACTGAAGGTTATTAAAAAAAAAAAATTAAATTAATATAATTTTTGAATAACTAACCCTCGGAAATTATAAAGCTTACCTCTTTTAAAATTTGTTCAACTTTATTTTTGTCTGACAATCCTTTTATAGCAACCGTTTCACTTTCATTATCCAACCAAGTTGCCTTATAAACGATACCGAATCCCCCTTTCGCAATAAATTGTAAATTTGTAATTCGAGAATATGGTATCCATTTCATTATCGATTGTGAAGGGATATTTTTCATCAAATCATATACATTCAATGGGTTGGAATTTTCTTCAATTTTTTTCAGATTAGAAGTGATCTTGTGAATTTCAGAGAGTCTTGTAAAAGTAAGAAAGTCATCTATAGTCTTATTCCCACTACTGATATTTGCAATTTCAATAGAAAATCTCCTTTCACATTTCTTACATTGGGATTGATTTGTGATCCCGAAAATGATGTTTGTCGTTAAACAGAAACTACACCCACTATAAATGATGAGGCAATGTGAGCACCATTTTTGACAATCTGATATCAACTTGAAGGTTTTTTTACAAATGTTACAATGATCAAATGCATCCCACCATGGTAAATAAAGGATTGGAATACGTTCTTTAAACAAAGTTGAATCTATCCATCCGGAAGAAATCTGGTAACATTTTGAACACATTCTAAGGGAATTAATTGATAAACCAATGCGATGATAAATCAAGCTTCCACATGATTTACAATCATTTTCACTCTCAAAATATTTAAAATCATTATTGGGATTACTATAGAATGAAATCCCTGGGGTTACTTGTTTAAAATATGAAATCTCTGAGCATTTTACACACCATTCTTGAATGTTATGGATGCAAAAATCCGCATCTCTACCTGTTTCGTGCTGATTACGTTGAATGTTATTTGTGCATACAAGTACATCCAAGTACTTTTTATCGTCAATCATAAAAACATGGTTGAACAAACAATTTTTAAAATATAATTGGTCAAGCATAAGCGTTCTGGAGTATTTGAATTCGCACTCACAATTGCAATACAATTCATTAAAAGGAAGAAATTTGATTGGTATTGGATAAGGATTTAAATTTGGGGTTGAATCCATGTTGTTTTATTTATTCAAGGAGGAAAAAAAAAAAAAATGCGAGATAAAAATTTCGCAACGATATTTATAGGTTATTCTATTTTATGATCATTACAGAAATAATTCGATTTTAAGGCATTAAAATCATTAAATTCTCGATAGATATATACCTTAATGTATTGTATCCGTCAGAAAAAAAGAGAAAAAAAGGAAATTCGCATAACAAATATAAATGATCATGATGGCAAAGAAAGAAAAAAAATTTTTTTTAACTAAATTGCTTTTTTATTTTCATTTTTGTTCTATTATCACACTTTTTTTTTGGTTTGATGTCGACAATAAAGTTTTATTTGGTAAATCATCTGCATAATTCACGGTATGAACATTAAAAAATAGTTAAATTATAAGTTGGCATTTAAATTTGAATTCATATGAACTGATTTGTATGTTTCCTTTCCATTATTGTCCAAAATAAAAGTCATTATTAAACAAAGAATTCTACAGCATGACATCGACTTGCATTTTTCCATTCAACATTCAACCAGTTTAGATATTTTTTTTCTGAAATTTACGAGTTTTTTTTTTACGATTAGGCGTAAAATCTTGATGAGTTTCGGTGCGTTGCAGTGCAGTTTTCATTTCCTTTTGAGCGTCTCCCTGTTCACGTGCGACGATTTTATTAAGTGAGTTAGAAAATGCATGTCCTAAAAACGTCAATCACAAAAAGCCGGTCAAAATACGAGATGCTTTCATTATTTATAAAATCAAAGGTTCTAAGAATAAAAGCACGAGAAATTAAGTCTAATACTGGGAAATTTTGCCTTTAAGATTATTAACGATTGAAAATAAAATCTATAAAAGTTTTTTTTTTTTTTTTTTTATTTGTTGTATCATACAGTAATAAGGTTCAACTATAATAAGGTTTTGCATGCAGGTCAATCCGCCACACGGAGAATTTTTCGAGGTTCAATTTGTCAACGGATAAAAAACAATATCCTTCAGCCTATTGTCTTCTGTCATTTATTTATTAAACTTCAAAAAAAAGGCGGATAATTTTTTCATTTATTAAACGAAATGTGACAGTACCGGAAAATCTACAGAAATGAACTTTGATTAAGACGGTGAAAATTACAAATTTTGCCGAGCCGTTCCATTGGTAAATCTTTAAAAAAAAATATTCTATCAGGAGTAATAATAACTATCTTTTAGATTCAATTCAAAAAAAAAAATTTAAATCTTGTATTTTAATTAAAAGAAGATATAGATGAATGATTTTGTTTTTTATATTTTAACCCAGTGCTACTATAAATATACTTTATAGTATTTGAATGATTAACGTGTAATCGTAAAACTTGAACATTTCTGGTTTCGGTTTTAATAAAACCGCAAAACTGAATTGCCGAGAATCTGCTTAAGAGAGTTGGTTCTATTCATTTTATTAAATGTAATATGTA